ATGTTTTTTATTCTCCTTATATCGAATATTTGATGCACTTCTTTTAAGCACATGTTTTAATTTTATATTTGAATGGGGACGGCTTTTTTCTGAGAACTTGCCACGTGCCAACTTCTTGAATAATTACGTTAGAGATACTGTAGCGTATGCAAACACACTTCTTCCCTTTCCCTTTTCCACGCTCCCTCATTTTCTCTCATTCGCCTAGCGGGTGCAGATCTGAGAAGCACGTTATTCTCAGCTTTGCACTGGTAGTAGAGGCAGGCCCGGGAAGAGAGGGAGGTTCGAGAAGAAGGCCGTTCGCTGTCTCCGCCTTCCTTTCCTTCCTCCCTGCTGACTCCTTTCTACTGTTTTTTGTTCCTCTCACTTGCGACTAATGTCACCCTAACCCATCACCATCTTCTATGTACGTACCGGCACTCCTATTTTTCCTCCTCCCGTTCTCGTCTTTCTCCTCGCTCTCCTCTTCCTCCTTGCTCTTGGCTTCCTGTTTCGGTGCCTCCTTCACTCAACAAGTCTCCGACACTGGACAGAACAATCGCAAGTGAAACAGCTTTACATCAGTATCTGCTACTGCGGGCAACTGTGTAATACTGTGGAAGTGTGTGCGAATGTCGTATCTGAGAGTGTCAGATGGTGTGTGAGGCGGTTCGTCTCTTTCACTGAAACTGCAGCAGCTGCTGTCACTGAAACTGCAGCAGCTGCTGCCACCGGTGCCGCTGGCTTCTGCTGAATCTGTTGTGCAGTTTTTGCCGCAGCTGTTGAAGTGGTCGCTGCCTTTTCTTTTTCGTGGGCGATCGAAATGCCCCCAGATTTTCTACTTGGGGTACACTCGCACTGGGACATTTCGAGCGCCTGTTGGGATTTGACTGTGCCCACTCAAAGACATGACTTGGCATACTTGCATTCGGTTGCATCTTGAATAGATGCTGTGATCAGCTGGACGTCAGATATGGGTTGCATCCAGAAAAGATGCTGTGATCAGCTGGACGTGCAGATATGGGTTGCATCCAGAATAGATGCTGTGATCAGCTGGACTTGCAGATGTGTTTTTGATTACCTGTTCTCCGTGGAGTGCTTAATTAGCTGTACGCCCTGGCTGCACTCCCTGGAGTGCTTGATTATCAGCACTGCATTTGGTTTTGTAATTTTCTATCTCCAAGAATTCTCCATCTCTGCATACCGGCGTCTTTTTCAATCGGCCTCCCCTTGCCTTCTATCCTGTCAAAATCGTTCAACCCTCTTTTTTCATTCCCTTTTAATGTTCCTTTTGTTTTTTTCTCTCCCTCACAGACGATCGTTTGATTTCACGTTTGCGTGTCACGATCCCTTGGATTCTTTTTTATCTGGACGAACATTTGCCTTTGGTTTGTCAGGAAATAGTATCTTCACCAATGTGGGTATCTAGGAACGATTGGGAATGCATGTGAATGCACGAACACTTTCAAGCAACTCCCGCAACTGTCATGTGCTCTCGTTATCGCTCTCTTTTTGTCTGGAAATCTGCCTATGCTCCAGCGATAGGTATTGAGCACGATGTCTCTGCCCCTTCATTTCGCTCCTCTGCTCACTCGTCGTGTACCCCTTCGTGCATCCCTCTGCAGTACTACGGTATTAAACAAAGAGGAACGAGCACTATTTTGATGACAGATTGAATATGAACTGAATCAGTAGAGAAATGAGGACTATACCCCACCCTTTACGCTTTCTCCTTTCATAACGTTCAAGTGTGCGGTTAAGTCACGCGCGGATGTCGGCAGCTCGTGCTAAACTGCGTCAACGTCGCCAGCCGAGTACGTGGGAGGTGGAGTAAAAAGGTAGCTGAAAATACAAAGATAACGTGTAGTATCTGAAGAACTGAATCAATTTTTGTTTTCTGGGCGACGGTTGCTTACCCGACCCCTTACGTGTCGCATATGTATTGCACTGCAGCAGAGCGTGGCGCAGCCCTCCCCCTCGAAAGGCAATTCACTAAAGAAAATGAGAGGTGCCCTATAAGAGTAGTAAAGAATGGAATACTAAGGGTCTGCTCTGTTCATTGTTGCTTGGTATGTGCAGTCAAGTTATTCATTGTTGACATGGCTTATCAATTCTGTTTCGTTGTGCGCAGCAAAGGTAATGCTGCATCGATTTTGTGTCGACGCATCTGAGTGGAACACGGCCCGTTGTGGTGAAACTCGATTTGAGGTGCGAGTGTCTGTGCGTGGGTGTGCGTGCGTTTCGAAATATAAAACGTTCACACACACGCATACCTATAAACCCGCACACACTTTTGAACGTCTGTCGCATCGGCGGCAGATGGCCTTGTGTGCACTTCCCCCTCAACTAGTCAGACGTGGGAGCTTTGGACTCTCTATTAAATTGGTTGTGTGATTCCTTTTCTCGTGGATGGTTTGTGATGGCATGAGCACGGAATGAGAGTTTGGGGATGTTGCAGGAGGTGTCACCGCACACAGTCGTACTTTTTGGAAAAAGAAACACCATGGGAGGTGTCAGCGGAGGTGATGCGTGCAGCCCCCAGTGGTAGCCCCCGCGTGTACCTACTGTCTCTTGGTGGGGAGCTGCACCTGCCGAAAAGCGTGTCCGCCGTCCCATTTGAAAACATCTACAGAATGATAAGCTCATCAGTTTTGGCCTTGGCCAGTAGGAGCGAGCTCTCCCTGTCTGACGACCTTCTGATTTTGCATCGGAGCCTTGGAGGCCCTTTTCACATCCAACTGGACTTGTCCATGGCTAGTACAAACCACAATTCCTTGCTGGATGCTGTCCTTGCGTCCCAGTCAGGTGAGGTCCATTCGAAGCCGGCCCTTCAGTGCGGTGGTTAGTTGCTGGGGTGAAGGGAGTGGGGGTTGATCACGGCTGATGAATGTTTCTGAGCAGAGTTTGTTGGGTAGATGGGCACCTCGAAGCAGTGCACACAGTAATCCTTCTTTTCGTGTTTAGTGAATTTGTCAACACAAAAAAACAAAACAAAGCACATAATTGGTGGAGTTGGACGAAATAGTCTGGCAGTCCAAGACTTTTTCTGCAAATTCCTACACTAAAAGAAGCATGAAGACATAGGGAAAACACTCTGGCAGTCGGGGCCACTAAAAGGTGCACTAGAAGGGGGTACCCACTTCGGGCAGGAATTTGCGGAAAAAGGCTTGGAGTGGGTATATGTCCCCAGCTTAAGAAACGTAGACATAGGGGAAGGGTGCCCACAGTGAACACATATTCGAACGGAGGGTGCACGTACGCACACGATAGTTTAGCGTCGGGGAAACGGTGGCGGGGGCTCTTAGCGTCGGGGACACGGTCGCGGGGGCGTTGAATCTGGTACTCCCCAAAAGTGAACAAAGAACGCACATTCGGACTCTGGTCTTTATTTCAACAGTACGTGGGTATAAAGAACGAATTTTTTACATGTATCTGACCACGGTTACGACCAAGCTCGATGCATCTGACCGTAATCCCTTGCAAATTCGGCAGAGGATATCCTGGATTGTGGCCTGAGATACGGCATTGAAATCTGATCTGTATTTCAGCAGTTTGTGTAAGATGTATATTACCGCAGTTAGGTACGGAATTCGGGAGAGCTGGTGTCGAGCTGCTGTGCCGACGACAGCTCAGCTCATGGGTATGTGTACCTCGACGCAGTTAGGGTGAGGTTCTATGAATGTCGGTGTAATCACTCGCAGAAATTGGCGAATTTCTGAAGTCGATTCCCATTGCATTCATTGACTCTGGCTATAATTACGGTTAGACAAATTCAAGAACCCCTAGTCCTCGAGCCAGTTTCGGGAAAAGCCTAGGGTGAGTCTGCCCTGAGAGCTTCGGCGAAGCTGACTGGGTGGTAAAGGGGTGTGGGAAGTTAGCACTTCTTTTGCCCGCAACTGAACATCGAAATGGATTTGAATTCCGGTCTACATTTTGACAGTTCGGTGGTCTACTCTACCATGTCCGTTGTCGCATAGTTGGGAGTTCCTTGATGTTTTCGACTAATATTCATAGAGTAGGGTAGACCTTAATTTATGT